ATTGTTGCTTGCCTTTAAAAGATTTAAATTAGGTAATAAGTTAATTTTCAATGCATTTTTATGCGTTCTTTTTTCATTTTTTTATATGCATCAAGATGTTATAAACAACTATGGAAAAAAATTAGATTGATCGTTCTAGAATTAATGCGCTTCAATTATATATTATTGCCATAATATGATTTGTTGAAAACAGTATGCTATGACATTACATGAATTTGAAGATTATATATAAACTTTTAAATTTTTTTTTATAATCACTTGATGTCATTCTTTTTTGTTCCAAATTTGAAGATTATATAAAGCTTTTAGATTTTAACTTTTTTTATAATCCCTCGATGTCATTCTTCTTTCCGCCAAATTTAATTTTGTCACTTCAAGTGACGCATTTATTATGACTCTTCTTTCGTTAACGTAAATGCAAAAACGTTTCTGACTTAATTTGTGCGTCTGACGACTATGTCTGAATCAGAAAAGGACAAACTTTGAGATTGACTCCAAGTAAACCTTTCTTACAGTCAGCGTACTTTCAAGATAAAGTATAAAACATATGTGAAGCGTTGTGTCACGCAACGAAGCGGAGCACTCACCTCTCTGTAATCGCCTTTCCACAACCCGCGCATTCTTGTTGAGTGGCCCCGTTCTTGCCAGGCTCGCTCTTGCTCCCATCCATAGTCATTTTATCGTCTGCAACAGAATAGAACAGAAATGTTAGTTCGATCGCTGTCGTTCAAAGCGCGAATTGAAAATTTCTTGCGCCTCGTAAAAAAATTTTTGGACTAAACACATTTATACTTTGTTGTGAATTTCATTTAAAAAGTGTATAGAGAGAATAATTTCTTCCGTCAGCTTTCTGCCTTTTGATTATTTCGCAAGCCAATTATTACGTCATTGTTATTTCAGTGCGAAAGCCGGCGCGGTCGGAAAGTCTCGATGGATCGACTTTCAACTATAGTCGTCGGTCAGGATCGAATGAGTAATCGCGTTCGCGTGCTTTTAACAAGTTTCACCGGCATCTGCTACTAGAACGCTGGCTTGTCTATGAGTAATTAGAGTTACGGCTTGAGAATTTAACGGCGCGGTTAGTGCCATCTGTGTCCACCCCGTTCGGCTTCGGGGCGTGTAGCCTTTCTCATCCTCCACGAGTTCCTCCCGCATCAGAGCGTTCCATCCTATGGTCTCTTTCTCGCGATGTGGTCAGAGTTTAGAATCGAATTAGTTTGACCCTTCCACTCTTCTCTCTTTCTCTCTTTCTCTCTCTCTCTCTCTCGTTCTTTGTCCACTTATTGCGCGTTTAAGCACCACCGGGTTCGAAACAACCAACGACTCGGGTAGTCGACTGCTGTCCGTGCTCTGGATAAACATTAGGTATCCCCCTGAAGAGTCCCAATGTTCTTTTAAGTGTATAAAAATAGCGTGGCGCTTGCACAGCCCGTGAAAAAAACGGTAACGCAAACCTTTCGCTAAATCGATAGAAATGTACGAGTTTTTTTGATAAGAATTACACACAGAACTCTACACACTTCAGCGAAAACAATTGAAAGGTGCAATACTTTTTTTCTTTAACCGTAAATGCATTAAATGAATAACGAGTGAAGATTATATTGTCGGGCTGCTCGGTCTTAAAGTGGTTAATAACGCGCACGTCGCGACGGGTCGGCCTTTTTCCTCGGGCGATGTCCACCGGCGCACTGCGCCAAGTTCGATCTCAACCACCCGGTATATTTACGAGCTCATACCCGTGGATGCTATGAGCGAAGTTTGTGCGGTTTCAATATGTCCTCTCTCCACTCTCCCCTTAGCATGGACACAATATTACGCGGGTTAATATCTTCCGTGCGGTCGGGGACTTCGAGGCAAATATTAATACGATGCCTTTGATCCGTTAATTATTAACGGCGACGGGGGATGAAAAATCCGTATCGCCTTGGCGGAGCGCGAAAATTGCCGAGGCAAAAAACCAGATGCTGGATGATGCCCCGTTTTCCGATGCGCTTCTAATTAAACGTCTTTGTGTCGCGGAATAGCGGGACAGCAGACCCGCATACACAATGCTGCGTGCGCGCGCGCGTGTGTGTGTGTGTGAATTTTTTGCGCGGCACAAACGCGAATGGAAGCCGCGCGACAGCGACGGAAAGTTTTCGTCTACGATAACGAGAGACGCCTCCGTGCACACCGAAGCACTTCGGCTGCAATCGCATACGCGGGGGCGAGTTAATTAATCGAGTTGAATCGATTACACGCTTTACCTCCGCCCGCGGGTTACCGATAAATTGAATACGTTATAAATAATAGTACGATTGTTATTCGCGGGCGTGCACACCTACCGGGGGTAATGATTAATGGAATAACTAACTAGCGGGGTAAATTATGCAAACTATTAAATCCGCCCGCATATAAACTTTCCCACATAATAATCGCTAGGCGATATCGATTGGCGCGATGTTAAATTTATGTTGGTCTTTCGCGGACCCACCGCCCATGTAAATTAGATTAAAAACCATTCACGAGATTGTCTTTCCTTCTCTTTCCCGTGGCGGACGAGCGTGCGCGTCTCGGCTGTACGTCGCGCGTACGTAACGCTTTATCTCCACGCCGCATCTACTATATTTTGTAGTTATCAACAGAATTTCTGTAGGGGCTGTATGTCTGCTTAGCCGCTGAACTGACTCAGACGACGCGGCGCTCACTGTTTCGCAAGCGAAAGTGGCGAGAGTGTTTCCTTTGAAACTCGAAATCCCCCGTACGAACTATGATAACAGAAATATTTGGAGTTACGTGCAATGGAATCTCGCCGCAGAAATTCCTGCGGACGCCGACCTGGATTCCGCCGACGACCTCGAAAACCTTCGACCGTCAGGCCAGGTTGGCGCTCAATTTCCACTTTGTATTCAACCGCGATTTTCATCAGTGCGGTGGGTGTGGTTTTCGCGGGGGTCGGCGAGAACGCGCCCGTCCTTTTATCGTCCAAGCTGATCTTAATCGTTTTAAGGTCTTAGGCTTTACGCGAATCCGCGACGGGGGCTAACTTTGACCGCTGTTCATAACGTTGAACGTAACGGCGCAAACGCGACAAAATGAAAGAAACTACTCCGGCGTGAAACGCGCGCGGCACGCACGATCAGTGCGATCGGTCAGAGCAGCGTCGCCGGCGCCGGTTTTTGCGACTAAATTACTCGGCTGAAGTTATTGTCGTCGAGAAGCCAGCGGTGCGCGGTGGAAACAGCTCGCTCAAACGCGATGCCGAGGAGGGTCCGTAACGAGAGGCTCCCTTCGAAAGTGGCTCGCATCGCTGACCGCCGGAACTGTTCATCAGGTACGTGATCGAATCATCCACGGACACTGATCCTCAAAGCATCGATAATTCGATTAGCCGCTACACGTTCGAGAACCGCTAACCTGTCCACGAGTCGGTGTACGTACCCTCCTTGACCAAGCCGTTGCCCGTTACGCTCTCGGTGGTCATTATCATTGCGATGGTATTATTACAGAAGGTATCGGGGCCGGCCCGTCCCCTCGAGAATCGGGAGAGAACAGCTGGAAGGAGGGCGTAATTCAAAAACCGCCCGCTCCCGTCGTTTATTTCACGTTGATATTTCTGCACGATTTACTTGGCGGCGAATTGCTTAATGATGATAATCGTTAGTGGAACGACTGCGAATTCAAATGATGCCGTCTTCCTCGAATGCGGTAACAAATACGTTCGCAAAATGAAGAGCGGGTGGAGTGGTGGGGGGCGAGGGGGTAATCTGCTTATCGACGCAGCCAAGCAGTCTCGATGCAACTCTCTCAAGGCTCCGCCCCTGCAGCATCCATGACACTCCCAGCGTGCCACTCCCGGAACTCTTTAAGAAATAAAGATTGCAACGCGCCGCGCTATCCCGGCAACTTCGCTCCCCGGAATCTCTTCATTTTCCACGGCGATATTCTCTTACAATCCGAGTGCCATTGTCGCCTTAATATTCTCATTAGGAAACCAATTAAAGCTTGTTCAAAATATCTTTAAACGACAAGTTATAATATATATATATATATATACTCTAAGCGCTATTTTCTCTTGATTCTGTTAAATTCTTTTATTTCAAGTAATCCGAGTTAGTTTTAATAAATACACAACATCCGTCCGCACCTGTCCTCCTCTTTTTTCTGCCCGACCCCTCTATGTAGGGAGGGAGGAAAATCCCTTACGTCAGGAAGCGCTTACCGAAATTTCCACTCGTCCAGGGCGCGGCGCGCGGTCGCGCTTTTGTCTTTAATAATGCTTCTGCAGCGGCGTTATCTCTTACTTTTAGAACGAGCGAGCGGCCGGGCGGGCGTCCGGAGAGTCGGTCCATTAATTAGGCGGGCCGCATTAAGCCGAGCATTAATATACTCCGCTGGCTGTTTTGTTTTATCCCGCAGGAAGGACGTAACCTACCCCGGAGGCTGACGGCGGGGGCATTCGTGCCGGGAGTCAGTGCAGGGGGATGAGGGGAATTATTCCGATGCAGGGGCAACCTGCTAATCCGACCTGCCACGCAACGCCAAGCCGCTGCCGCCGCCGCCGCCGCCGCCTTATCCCGGGGGGCTGTTTAAATTCCGTAAATCGCCCGCGAGAGCGTCTCCCATTCCAAGTGCCGACGGTGCGCGTTGCCAGCGATGGACGATAAGATTCGAGCCGCGTGCCGTTAGTCACGTGTGAAAAACGAATCTCGCGGGACAAAATTCTCCTGTCCAAAAGTCATTGCAGAGAAAAATGAATGCATCTCTCGAGCGATTGAAATAATTAAATATAAAAACTATGAGATTAGCATTTGCCATAACAAGTTTTGTCAGTGTCAAATAATTGAGACATTTTTTGAATATTTCAATAAATCTTTGGTATTAATTGCATATTTTTCTATATCTTTGTTGTCGAAATCGTCACTTTACTGAATTAGGCTTCTGTTTTTGCGCAAAAAAAGGCAGCTATCGTATTTTTTCAGACAATTATCGAAGAGTATTTCGACACGTGTGTCTATAACTACTTGAGTGAAGGAGATCCTATATCGTCGCCCACTCGAATCGCCGCCCACTCGAATTGCCGCTTTCATCGTGCCGCGATAACCTTCCCTCGCTGTTGCCGCCGTCGGCTCGTTACCTCGCATTTAATACGTTCGCGAAAACGCGCGATAGCGGTACAATACGTTGCTAAATCGGCTTAAGTTTATACTTGGATCGACTCGTCGAGCGCGAGGAGTAAGAGCCCCCGGTATAACGACGTAATTTAACGTCCGAAAGGAATATTTCCCACGGAATAAATCTCGCGTAACAGCGCCAGTGAAATCCTCGTTTACCCGGCGTTCAACCCTTGCTAATGGGGGTAATTTAAGGGATGTTTTAAGCGCCCCCGGGTCACACGTGAGCCGCACAAAAAGTTCGCGTATTACGACCGTGGCCGCCGTAATCACGCATTAGCATTCCGAACGGTCGGGATATTCCGGATACGCTGAGAACGGCGCACTTAAACTTCCGTTGCAAAAAAGGAAACCGACTTGCAATATCTGAATGTTTCTCTGCGCAATACGGCGAAACAATCGAGATACAGCGCGCGGATCGTCTTCTCTCTGTAACTGCATATAAACTTGATTCAATCTTCAGTTCTCGTACATCTCAATTTCACCGTTTCTTTTTTTCTTCAAAGTATATTCGCTAATAAAAAAGCATAA